AATAAGGTGCGTTCCTTTAAGTCTTCCTACCAATATGACCAAGTTGCGAAAAAAAGGTCAAACAACTTCTATACAACGAAAGGAGACTGCGACCATACAAAAGGCGACACCATCTTGGTCTTTATATCTTCGCGTATTTATGGTGGACGTAGCCTAATAGTAAAAATGTACGGACATGTGAGTGAACAGCATGAAAACATAAATGTTTTAATTGTGAATATAGCTAGGCACGGCTAAGAGATAGATGTAGATAGATGACAAAAAGTAATGGTTTAGCTCACTTCCATTTCATGGGAAAGTTTGTGTGATGAAGTGATCTGAAGGCCGATCCCACAAGAAAACCACAAAGGTTTCCTCATGGCCAGCTGCCAATTGGCTCAGGTAAAAACTTCTTCCTGACGCTGTTCTTAAGGCAATCCACTTTGATTCCGGTGATCTTCTGCTGAAATCGATTTTCGAATCTCTTTGTCGAACACTTCCACTCAACGTAAAGGGGAATTCAACAATTATAAATGAAGAGACTACTATAAACCCAACTTTTCTACCCATAAACAACCAAAAATTCATTCATTCATGGACAGAGCTCAAATCGTATGTGCTAATTCGTCACTTGCGTCGACACTAGCCTGACCGAATGGAGGATTTGGCTTGCCTGTTTGCCACCTTTTGCCCTAGCAACGGGTAGATATGAGATTGTAGAATGCATTAAAACGTATCAATTAGTTTTGACTTACCGATATAATCCCATAGGTTTATTAGACTAGCAAGCTCTGGCCTAGTCGATTTTTTTATTGTCTCCGCCAAATCATCCGCATCTACAACCATGACTGAAAAAGAAAATACAATAAATACAAGCTAGCAATTGTGTTTATAAAGATATAGAATAATAATCATTCATAGCGGCCGCAATCCGAGCAGCCAAATGGTCGAATTCCCATTGGCATATACAGTTTTAATATGTAGGAAGACTGGGCAAAATACTTGGCCAATAAGCCTTGATGATTAACGGGCAGAAGTTTCGGCTCTGTTTCTATTACTCGAGACCATCCTTTTGCCATCGTATGTCGGCATACTCAAAAACAAATGCACATATTCGACTAAATAGCAAACGAAATAACCAAGTATTTCTATGCCTATCGTTGGTTGAGTTGCTTCATGTTTACGTACAGCAGTGAAAGTCTAGCCGGTTAGTTTTCGTAATTTTTCGCGGGCTCAGTGCGTTTCCATCGTGACCGAAGGTAGAT